TACCCCACCTCAAATTACTTAAAACACACAATACATTCTCTTTAAATCTTTTTTGAAAAACCAGTTGGATGAAATCTGAAACATGCCTGGCTTATATAGTGGGATAGAATTACACAGAAATAAAGAATTATCAACTCTTTTTTGGTTCAGTCTTTAACTAAAGCTGAGCCTAAGATTACTTACTATGATTAAACCATGTATTATGCTATCAAGGCAAATTTACAATGGTCCATGGTCCTATTTTCTCATTTTTAATTCTCATAGTTAACCATATCTTATGATTATGGCAGGCTACAATGGCCAATATTAAAATTTTATACCCAGGTATAAGTGAAGCCCTGTCATGTGATCATATGACACACAGGAGTCCTCTATTGCATGCTATCCAAAATCACTGCCTATCTATTGATTATTGAAGGGGTCAATGGCACAATTTCAGATTGATTCCATGTGGATAGTGCATGCACACACTTTTACAGTACAACTTGAACTTCTTTGGAATGAGATGTGGTTTAGACCACTAAAATAACTAAAAGGTAACATTACCTCAGACATCATATGTAACAAAGAGGGGAAAATTCTGAAGTTGGAATATTAACTAAGCCAATAAGCAATCTAAGACCACGTGTTTAAAACATGACTGATTCTAGAAGATAAATTATTAATTCAATTAAAACATAGATCTGTCTGGGTAATCCACACCACCCTCTCTACCACCATGATTTCAAGGAAAAATCTTGTATTTAAGAGGTCTTAAGAGTCTTCAAAACTTGCACATCTGGAAGATGCAACTATAGGCCTGGTAAAAATAAAAATCTAGACAACAAATATGAAACTTAGAGGCCTCCTCATCCTGTACTATATGAGCACTCTACAACCATGCATAGTTGATTAGTCTTACAGAAATGATTTATAGAACAGACTCAGACCTGTTCTTTAGATCCTGTTCAATGTCCATGCAGAACACGTTTCTTGAAAGAAAAGACACTATTAAATATCTCTGTCAGTTTAGTAAAATAAGCCTCTGATGTTCAAACTCTAAGTACTCTTTGGTATTTCCACATATACTGCTCTTAATTTTATTTATTTATTTATTTTTTTGGCAGCACTGGTGTTTGAACTCAAGATTCTCACACTTGGTAGGAAGGCACTCTTAAAATAATTAATTAATTTTAATTGTTTATATATTTATTCATATGTGTATACATTGTTTGGGCCACCTTTCCCCCCTGCTCCTCTCCCCTCCCCCCACCTCGCTCCCTTCCAGGCAGAACCTGTTCTGCCCTCTTCTCCAATTTTGTTGAAGAGAAAACAAGAGATAATAAGAAAGACATAGCATTTTTGCTACTTTGTGTTAAAGATAGCTATACAAAGAGATTCCTAGCATTGCTTCCATGCACATGTGTATTACAACCTGAATTGGTTCATCTCTACCAGACCTCTTCACTACTTCCCAGTCACCTTTCTATGGGGGCCTCTGTCAGTTTAAGATTACTTTATTCACTCCTCTACAGTGGGTACATCAACCACTTTCAAGTTTTAGGTTTCCTTCCCTTTCCCTATTCCTCCTGAATGTGTTCTACCCTTAGTGAGTGGCCCATGTCCAATAATATTACTGCAATTGTTTTAGGTCTATAATCAGCATATGAGGGAGAACATACGATTTTTTGGCCTTCTGAGCCTGGCTAACTTCACTTAAGATGATGTTCTCCCTCCATTTACTTGCAGATGAAAAGATTTCATTCTTCTTCATGGCTGAGTAAAATTCCATTGTTTATAAATACCACATTTTATTAATCCATTCGTCAGTAGTGGGGCATCTTGGTTGTTTCTATAACTTGGCTATTATGAATAGTGATGCAATTAACATGGGTGTGCAGGTGCCTCTGGAGTAGCCTGTGTTACATTCTTTCGGGTATGTCCCTAGGAGTGGTATGATATGGCAGATCTATGTTTAGTCTTTTTAAGAAGCCTCCATATTGTTTTCCAGAGTGGTTGCACCAGCTTGCATTCCCACTAGCAGTGTACAAGGGTTCCTTTTTTCCCACATCCTCACCAACATTTGTTGTTGTTGGTATTTTTGATGATAGCTAGTCTAACAGGGGTGAGGTGGAATCTTAGTATGGTTTTGATTTGCATTTCCTTTATGGCCAGGGATGGTGAGCATTTTGTCATGTGCTTTTTGGCCATTTAGATTTCTTCCTTCGAAAAAGTTCTGTTTGATTCACTTGCCCACTTCTTTAGGGTTCATTGATTTTGGAGGAGTTTAGTTTTTTGAGTTCCCTGTGTATTCTGGTTATCAGTTCTTTGTCTAATGTATAACTGGCAAATATTTTCTCCCACTGTGGGTGGTCTCTTCAGTTTACAGACCACTTCTTTTGTTGTCCAGAAGCCTTTTAATTTCATGTAGTCCCATTTGTCCATCCTTTCTCTTAGTTGCTGGGCTGTTGAAGTTCTACTGAGGAAGTCTTTCCCTATACCTATTGCTTCCAGAGTGTTCCCTGCTCTTTCCTGTACTAACTTCAGAGTTTTGGGTATGATCCTTAATCCGCTTTGAGTTAATACTAGTTCAGGGTGACAGGCATGGATCTAGTTTCAGTTTTCTGCAGACAGATAACCACTCTTCCCAGAACCATTTATTGAAGAGGCTGTCTTTTCTCCATAGTATGTTTTTGGCGCCTTTGTCAAAATAAGGTGGGCATAGCTGTGTGTGTTCATATCCTGGTCCTCTATTCTGTTCCACTGGTCATCATGTCTGTTTTTGTGCCAGTTTTTCATGCTGTTTTTCTTGCCATGGCTCTGTAGTATAGTTTGAAGTCAGGTGTTGTGCTATCTCCAACATTGTCTTTTTGCTGGCACTCTTACCTCTTGACCCACTCCACCAGCATTTGTGTGTGTGTGTATGTGTGATTTTTTTTTTTTTCAAAATAGGGTTTCATGAACCATCTGCCTAGGGCTGACTTTGATCTTTGATTTCTGCCTCCTGATTACTTGGGATTATAGGCGTGCCATATAAACTACTCTTAACACTGAGGCTTAGTCAATTACTTTAGAAAAAAATCAGTGATCCTTAATCTCAGGAGTATGTTCCCATTTTCCTTTCAGTAATTGAAATCCCATTGTTTTAAGACAGTTAAATCTTTTCTGAACTGAAGTTTAAATAGTAACAGAATTTTAGGAGTTCTCTGCATGAGTGTCTGACATTTTTTTCCAAGCCAAGAAAAATTTCAAGTCAACAGTAAAGAAGGACTGTTAACTGAAAAGCATCTGATTCTCTGAATAAAATGATCTTGTTTCTCTCTGAATGGTACAGTACATTAGAAAAAGGAGGATAAAATTAACACTATTATGTTCTCCTAATAGAGATGATTAAGATAAATGTTGAAGCAATCATTTATTTTAATGATTTACTGGTGATAGAAAATAACTGAGAAGAAACTTGGAAGCAATAGCTAGTAATAACCCATCATGAAGTTTCTACCTACCCATATGAATTAAATAATGTCCCCATTGTTCTTTTCCTTCAGAGATAGAATTTTATTAATTACCTTTCATTGCTGAACTTGACTCCTACTATATTAAGAATTTCCCTTATTTTTTATTTCATTGGCTGTGTCAAAACAACTGTGATTTTTATCAACTCTTTCTATGTTATAATAATTAATATTTTCAGACTGCATCAGTATTTTTCTATAAGTGGACTATTATGGTCTTTTTTAGATGCTTTCTTATGCAATATTTTATCCTCTCCTGAGTTTTAAAGAAATTAATTCCTTGTTCCAGTGCTTACTTCTTAACTTATTCTCACAAATCTGTTCCCTCAAGTTTTGATCTCCACTCCTCCACTGATTGCTTCCCCTTTAAGAACCTACAAGACTTCCCTTGATTTTAATCCATCCAACCATCAAAGTCCTCGAAATCCTCACAGGTTCCCTAAAACTTCTAGGTTATGATCTTCACCAAGATGACCCCAAGTTTTAGGGCTTTTCCACACTATTTGTCAGAATAAAATACTTGCTGTCATTTGGTTGCTATTGTTTTGACTTTTTTATCTGATTGACTTTGCTTTTGCTTGAGTAAAGGTTGATTGATTGACTCATCCTTCCCAAATGACTTAATTGTTACCTTTCCTTTATTACCCACATCTTTATTTGCCTGATTTCCAGGTTTTAATTCAAGTTCTACCTTTTCCATGCATGAACTTTCTCATATAGCCCTAGACAACTCTGAATCTAAATTTTTCTGATTCCCTGTAGATTTTATAATTTCTTGTTTAGCATTTGATTTTAAAAACATTTAATCTGCATTTGTATTCATCTTTATGCTTTCATTCTTTCCTTCAAACAACAATCCTAAATAACCAATCAACAAGCCAACATTCACTGAGCACTCACTTGTCCATCATTCTGGTGGGTCAAGGGTATATAAGAATGAATATTTCTTTTATTTATTCAGAACTCTTAATACAATGCATGCCTCAGATAATAAAATGTTGCTATTTAACAGATGAATAAAGTATCACCAATAGACCTGCCATTAAAATAACCACTCTTTCAAAGATGCTGTGGAGTTGCTATATGTACAGATGTGCGTAAGAGGGCATGCAAGAACTGGAAGATTTGTGTGGTATTGATCCCAGGTATTGACTATTTTGAGAGCCAAACCAACATGAATTTTAAAATCATGTTTTCTAAGAAATATATTTCAACATTCCTCCTCTTGACATTATATCTGACAAGCAGGCAAAACCTATGATTTGCAAACATAGTGAAGAACACATTATTAATAATTACTGATACCTACAGCATTCTGTTTCCAAAAAATGCATCTTACAAGAGAAAACATAGGTATCAAAACTGTACAAGCAAAGAAAGAAAGCAGAACAGTTTGAATCACATTCACATCTCATCTCCGTGCATGAGTATACTATTTAAACATATTCAAATTATTATGTCCAATTATCTTACATGCATGTATGTGAAAACTCTATTTTTACATACCTGTCCAGTCTCCTACTATTTTAAGATGGACTCCAAATGTTGCTTTGGTTTCAGTTGGACACTGGAAAAAATAAATACTACAATCAATAAATGCTAGAATCTGATTAATAACTATATTTACTATGTTATAATTCAACTTTTATTCTCATAGTAAGTCCCCCAAATCAATAGATAATAGAAAATAACAGTATAATTTAGATCTATGGATCCTCATTTGTAGAAAAAACATCAATGTCAACCAGTCACCAGGACAATCTACATTTTTCTAAAAACTCGTATTTATGTGAAACAATAAAATACATAATTAAAATTGCTAGTATACTGCATTTAAATACAAATCCTACTACAATATCTTCTAAGTTAAAATGTGTAAGTGGACACAGCTTCTTTCACAAAGGAAAAATGAAGATTAATGTTGTGTGTATCTTTTTCTCCCACTATATTACTATATACTTCACATCCTGAAAAATTAGGGGAAAAATAATCTCAATTTGACAGTGAGTTTCTGTGTCCAATTAAGCATGGTCCTACTTGAAATAGTTCTCCATTTTCTGTTTTAATTCTCAGAAGAAACCTGGAGGGTATATATAAGAGGGGAATGAGTTTGGGAACTAGAGATAAAAAAAGCATCTGTGGTTCCATATTTAGAAAATCTAGAAAACACCTAGATAGCCAATGAGAGAATAAATTTTAGTCTCTCAAAGAAGAAAATACAGAACCTCCTCTTATTTCAGATTCCTAGCTCTTCATTGACAATTACAAAACTCAAAAGGATGAGTTTCTTAGTAAGTCATGTGGCAGTATATCTGACATGAACTGTTGGAAGGAGGATAGGATGCTAACACTTCTGTATAAATACTCATACAGGAATACTGTCCTATGAACAGACATTAATAATAGTGGGGGTTGTTGTGATAATTACATCAAATTCATTTTCTCCACTATATTCACGTTTTGCTCTTCTCCCTCCCCCCTTTTCCAAACTATGTTTGGTGGGTTTCATCATACTACCCATATATGTGTGTTAGTCCCCAAGATAGTCCCTCTTTCATGTTCATGTCCCATGGTTACTATCATTATCACTTTAGGTCTATGTTCCACAAATAAGTAAGAACATGGGATATTTGTCTTTTGAGCTTCACTTATCTCTCAACATGATGATCTTCAGTTCTTATTATGTTCCTGCAAATGTCATAATTCATTTTTCTTTGTGGCTGAGTAATATTTCACAGTGTACATATACCACACTTTATCCATTCATCAGTTGTTGGATACTTTGGCTGATTCCCATTTGGCTATTGTGAACAGAACTGCAATAAACATGGCTATACAGGTATCTCTCTTGAATATTAATTTGAACTCCTTGGGATATATGCTCAAGTGTGTATTGCAAAGGCTATAGGTACAGTTTTAGTTTGGTGAGGAACCTCCAATAGTGATTTCCATAAGAGTTGTATTAATTTACATTCCCACTAATAGTGTATTAGGGTTCTTTCTCCCCTACACCCTTGCCAGAATTTTTTGCTGTTTGCTTTCTTGATGACTGCCAATTTATGTAGGGTAAAATGGAAACTTAGTGTAGTTTTGATCTGTATTTTCTTTATGACTAAGAATGGTGAACATTTACTTCTTCATGTATTTCTTAGCCATTAGAATTTCCTTACTCTGAGAACTGAATGTTCCAATTTGTGTGTTCATTTATTAACTGGATTATTTGGGGGTTTTGCTGTTCAATTCTTTGAACACAGTAAATTCTGGATATTAATCCTTTATAGCAGGTGAAGATTGTCTCACATTCTATGGGTGTCTCTGATTGATCTGGTAATTGGTAATTGTTTCTTTTGATGTGCAAAAACTTTTAAATTTGATAAAGTCTCCATGTATCCATTCTTGTTCTTATTTCCTAGGCAACTGGAGTCCCATTCAGAAAATAATTTCCTATGCCTATAACTCCCAGAGTTTTCACTATTTTCTCCCATGGTAGTTTTAAAGTTTTATGTCTTACATTAAGATGTCTAATCCACTGGTGTTGATTCTGGTATAGGGTAAGAGATAGGGTCAAATTTCAGTCTTCTGGATGTGGAAAAACAGTTTTCCCAGTGCCATTAATTGAAGAGGTTATATTTTCTCCAGAGTATGTTTCTGAATCCTTTGTCAAAGATCAGATGGCTGTAGCTGCGTGGTTTTATTATGAGGCCTCCTATTCTGTTCCATTGGTCTTTGTGTCTGTTTTTAACCAGTTCCATCAAGCTTTTGTTACTACGGTTCTGTAGCACAATTTGAAGTTTGGTATTATGATACCTTCAAAGTTGTTCATTTTTGCTTAAAATTAATTTAATATTTGGGATCTTTATTCTTCCATATGAATTTTAAGATTCATTTTTCTACTTCTATAAAGAATGATTGACATTGAGATTCCAACGGGCATTGTAATGAAAGTGTAGATCACTTTCAGTAGTATAGCTATTTTCACAACATTAACTCTGCCAATCCATGAACAGGGGAGGTCTTTTCATCCTCTGGTGTCTTCTTCCTGACTTCTTTCTCAGTCAGTTCATTGTTGCCATATAGAAAAGCCACATGTTTTCTTATGTTGATTGAATATCCTGCTTTGTTACCAAAAGTTTTCATCAGATCCTCATGGTTTTTTTGGTGGAATCTTTAGGGTCTTTCAAGAATAGAATCCCTAAGTGAGAATAATTTGACTTCTTCCTTCCCTATTTGAATCCCTTTTGTTTCTCTTGGCTTAATGCTTTGGCTAGGAATTTCAGAAGTATATTGAACAAGAGTGGGTAACAGTGGGACATCCTTATCTCATTCTTAATTTAAAGATTTCAGTTTTCCCCCATTTAGTATGGTGTATATATATATATATATTTACTATATATATTTGTCATATATAGTCTTTATTAGACTTAGGTAATTTCATATCATTCCTAGTTTGTTCACAGCTTTTATCATAAAAGGATGTTGAATTTTGTTAAAGCCTTTTTCTTATCAATTGAGATAATCATGTGACTTCTTTTCTTGATTCTGTTTATGTGCTATATTTCATTTATTGATTTATGTAGGTTGAACTATTCTTGCACCCTGAATGAAACAAATTCCATCATGGTGTATATCTTTTTAATGTGCTACTGAATTTGGATTTCAAGTATTTTGGGGGGGGCGGGGGCGGTAAACTTTAGCAATGTTTATTATGTTTAATGTGTTTAGCCAGTTTATCATGAGCCAGATTGGACTCAAAATGTCTGAGTTTACCAATAAGACATGGGCCAAAAAGCATTGAAAAGTATACTTTGATGTTCACCAAGTGGTATTTATTATGTCCCAGGTTAAATCTATAACTTCCAGTTAGATATGTTTGTGTTTCCATCATTACCTTCTAAGAAGCAATTCTGAGAGTACATGGATTGACAGATATTAGTTTTATAAAGATTAATCAAATACAAAGTCCTTCAACCTTTCCACCAGTTATTTTTTAAACTTTCCCACACTGAAACAAAGGTTTGGAATCACACTCAGAAATCACTGTTGAGAACTAGATTGGTTTGCATGTATTTTATTGAGAACTTTTCTATCTATGTTCATTAAAGAGATTGCCCTTTTCTTGTTATGTCTTTGTCTGATTTTGGAATGAGTGCACAGAATGAGTTTGGTAGTGTTCCTTCCCCCTTTTTACTTCATGTCAAAGTTTGAGGAATGTTGGTCTGGTAAAATTCAGCAGTGAATTCATCTGGTCCTGGGCTTATCTTTGTTGAGAGACTATTACTGCTTCAGTCTCATTGCTTATTATTGATCTATTAAGGTGGTTTGTATCATCTTAATTTAATTCTGGTAAACAAATGCATCTAGAAATTTACCCATTTTCCAGTTTATTTGAGTGTAGGTTTCTAAACTATACTCCCTAATCATGCTCTGGATTTCATTCATATTTGTTTTGATATTCCCTTTTTCATCACTAATTTTATTAATTTGGATCTTTTCTCTCCTCCTCCTAGTTAGATTAGTTCCTTGGGCTGCTGGATGAAATACTCTATTGATGTCTGTTAAGTTCATATAGTCCAAAGTGTGAATCAATTCTGAAGAGTCTTTGTTGGTTTTGTCTAGGTGACCTACATATTGGTGATAGTGGGTATACTGAAGTCTCCCAATATCATTTCTTTGGTTTCTATTTGTGCTAATAAGTCTAGTAATATTGTTTATTTTTGGTGTTACTAGAGTTGAACTCAGGGCCTCTTCCTTGCTAGGAAAGTATTCCACTGCTTGAGCCACTCTGCCAGCCCGTTTTTATGTTGGGTATTTTCAAGGTAGAGTCTTGGAAACTATTTGCCAAGGTTGGCTTCCAACTGCAAACTTCCTGATCTCTGCCTCCTGATTAGCTAGTATTACAGGCATGAGGCACTGGCATCCAGATATCAGAGTTTATTTAATGAATTTGGGTGGATGGACATTTGTTCCCTTTATTAATATGAAGTGATCTTCTTTGTCTCTTCTGACTAATTTTGGTTTGAAGTCTACTTTATCAGACAGATATGAGCATAGCATCTTCCACATTTGGAAGATCTCTTACTACCCTTCCACTCAAAGCCTCTTTTCTTTTCTTTCTTTTTTGGTCAGTAAGATGTACTTATTCTTGGCAACAAATGGTCAGGTCTTCCTTTTTAATCCAATTTGCCATTCTATGTCTTTGACTGGATAATTAAGACTATGAATATTCAGTGTTAATACTGAAAGGTGCACAGTATTTCCAGGTAATTTGTTGTTTTTGTACTATTTGGTACTTTACTAGTCTTCATTTATCTATACATCTGGTGAGATTTATTTTTTCCAATATTTTTGTGGTTATGTTATGCTCTTCTGTGTGTAGGATTCCTTGTAGTATTTTATGCAATGCTGGTTTAGTGGTCATAACTTGTGTTAGCTTTTTTTTTTTATCATGGAGTGTTTTTATTATTTCTCCTTCAGTTATGAATGACAGCCTTTCTGGATAGAACAATCAGGCTTGGCAATAATTTTCTTGCAGCATTTGAAGTCATTCCATGGACTTCTTGCTGTTAA